TTGCATGGCAGGTAAGTACGTACACTTTTCTTCTATCCATATGGTGTACTACTGAGAAAAACATGGATTAATTTTCCAGCTGGCTGTCTAATTTCAAATGTGTTGAAATATATCCTTAATTTAACATTTCTTTTTCCCTTTTTCAAATTTTCAATTGAGGCATCATGTTGAATAATCCTGATAGGTAATATATCTTGCTCAAGCTTTCTCATTTTGCATGAGGCAATGATAATGGCCGTGATCTTATTCTTCACGCATAATTATGTCATTGTGCAGAATTGTATGCTATTATAAGTTTTGTTTATCATGTACATTGAAACTTACAGTAGTCATGCATATCTTCCAATATAACCATGAATTGGCATATCTTCCAATATAACCATGAATTGGGGAAGTAAGGTGCTTCTTACAGTAGTCATGCATATACTGAAAATTGGATCAAGTGAGTTCAGCAGTAGGATAAATCCAACAAAAGGGAGACTAGAGAACCTCCTCACACAGCAAATGTGACAAAACCCCTTTTTAAGTGGATTATTTGATGTGAGAAATTGGTTGAAATTGAATTTCAAGGCTTTTTTATTTTTTATTTTTTTTATAACTATTTTTAAAATTATAGTTGTTGTTGTTGTGGTGGTGGTGGTGGTAATAAAAAGAATTGCAAGTTGAACCTAATTTCACAAACAAAATGTGCCAAATTTTAGCTATTTTTTCATTCAATCTGGAATCAAGGTGAAAAAAAGCCTACTTAGGCAGTGAGGGTGCCTATCCTGGGTCGCCTTACGGATGAGGATGACCATTTTTCACTTCTTATAATTTGTCCGAGCTTACCTCGTCAAGATTTATTCTAGTAGGTTACACTGTTGATGAAATATACATTAGTAAAGTGCATAATTTACTCCTATAACATTCTAAATTCTATTGAAATGTCCCCCCAATAGAGGATCATGCATTTTTCATTTAATTTGTCCTTAAATACTTGTATGAAGTGGTTTCAACCAGTCCATTGACCACACCAAATTCAATCTAACCTGTTCCCAAATTATTAGTCTATTTATCTATTGTTCTAACAAAAACTCATACTCACATTCTCCTATAATGAGTTCTCCACATTTTACTTTGGAAGGTGAGTGGATGAGTAAAGATCCCAAGAGATTCCTCCTTATCTTGTCTTTCTCTATAGCAGTGATCTTTATTCTGCAATCCTCCTGAACTAAAAATGTCTTTTGGCAATGGTCTTTCTAAAATGCCCTTAACAAGAAACATGATGTGATGCTCACATATACAGTCATAGTACTATGTGTGTGATATATATATATATATATAGTTACTTTAGTTGAAAGATGCTCCCAACTTGTGCCAGAATTACTAATTCCCTTTCTGTCCATAGAATTAATGATGATATGCAGGGGCATTAAAGTATTTTTCCTCAAAATTTAGTTCTTTCTCAAATTGTTAAATAGTCCTGAGCCATAAGTCATTTGGTGGTTCATTTGAGACCAAATTTTAATTGTAGTGAAATCCTTTCTCTATGACAGTGATCTTTATTCTGCAATCCTTCTGAACTAAAAATGTCTTTGAGCAATGATGAAAAAGATGGACAAAAGTAATAACTTTCATCATATAAGCCGTTGTTAACTCATGATTTTGGATAGATATTCTAAATCCCATTTTATAACTGTTCTCTCTTTTATAGCATACCCCAGGTTACTACTTTTATAGCTTGTGTTCGGCTTAGGGGTGCACGCGGTTCGAATTGGACTGGTTTGAGAATATTTTGGAACCAAACCATTTATAAAGGTTCCATAAAAATTGGAACCGAACCAAACCATGTTCCAATGGAACTGAACCAAACCAAACCATAAAAAAACGGTTTGGTTTGGTTGGGTTTCATAGTTTTAGGGTTTTTTATAATTCAATCTAATATATATATACAATTAAAAATATATATTATATATTATATATAATATAATTTTTATTATATATTATGATATATATTTGTGTGGTTAAAGAGCTAATCTTATTATTTTATTATTTATATAATACAAAATATAATACGAAATATATAAATATATATACAATTTATAAAACGGTTCGGTTCGGTCTTGTAGAACCTCAAATCGTAACCAATCCGTTTATAGACGGTTCCATGTTTTTGAACCATAACTGAACCGAACCGTGAAAATGGTGATTGAGTGTGTTTTTCCTTTCTTCCTTTTTTTTTTTTATTTTTTTTATTTTTTATTTTTATTTATTATGATGGCAGAAAACCTTGAATAGATATGGAAAGAGAAGTTTAGATGTTGTTTGCTTTTGTCACTATGGCAGAGAAAAAGTAATAAAAGAAAATAGAAGCATTAGGTACATAGGTGAAGCTATTGCTATAAAGACGAATATGACGTATGATGCGTTCAAAGAACTATTTTGCTGACAATTTTCGATTGATTTTCATAAGAAAGTAACATGGTATGAAGGCAATGCTTCTAGTAAATCTGTAAATGACAACAGAGTCAATGTTTATATTGATGATGGAATGGTTGTGGGGCTAGAATCCTTTCCTTGTCATGTCACCTTAAGGTAGTTCATAATCCTACTAAACTTAATATGTTTTTGATTTATTTATTTATTTATTTTTAAATGTAGAGAATATGTTTTTAGTCTAATACTGTAAATGTTATGTAGGACACCAAATGAAGATCGTGACAACTCCCAGTTGTTGAGCAATGGCATTATTGGCTTGATACTCGGGCTAAGAGGACAGATACTTGATACTCGGGCTTGCCATCTTTATAACAAACCAACAGTGATTACACAATACAAAACCATATAATTTAATTCATCTGAAGCTTATAAATGGTCTAATCTCACAGCTTCTACTCTGTCATGTCTTGGCGATGGCACGACGGTCGGATGTATCTTCTTGAAGATCGAAAAGTAGCAACCTTGTGGATTTTCACTTTCATGATCTGCAATTACCTCCCTTTTGGCCGCCTTTGATGTTCTCTTCATCTTCTCCTTGTGAATTTTTCGCATCACATAAACTTCAGCAAGATTGGCACCGGCTAAAGACATGGCCGGAAAAATAAAGCCGGTACGGTGAAATTGTGTGAGAAATGGATGTCTTGTGACAATTGGATTGATTTTGTGATGATAATGTCTTGTGACAATTGGCCTTAAAGAAGCCATTTATACACAATTATAGGCTTGGAGAGCAAGCAAGTTTTGTCACTGCATGTTCTTGGTTGTTTCATTTCATGGCGGCTTAGAAATAAGATTGAAGACTTTCTTGGGAAAAATATGTAGTGGGGTCACATGAAAAGTGTTCCTGCATGACATAAACATGCATAAAGTTGGCTTAGTGATCAAGTCATTTTTGGCCTATTGCTCTTGTAGGCTCAACGATATCCTTTTGACAATTTTGCATTTTGTGTTAGACACCATTGCACATTCCTAAAAGGTTGCCTATTAATTGGCTGGTATATATTGGACAAAATTGGCATCATCAAATATATCATAGAGAAAAGTGCAAAAAAAACCCCTGAACTATTGGGGTTTTGCAAGTAACCCCCTTGAACTATAAAAAACCCCATGAACTTTAGCATTGTTGCAATTAAATCCATTAAAACAATTGCCGGCACCGGAAAAGCCAAAAGGCATCTATACCTTTAATAGTAACGACGTAGTTTCAACGTCTGTACACTTTAACTTGCTGACATGTAAAGTGAAATATGAAGGGCCACTAATATTGTGACAACACACGATTTAAAGATAATGTTTCTCACCCTTATCTAATTGGCGGCATTACAGAACCCACCCTTCCCTTTTACGAGCTATTATAACGAATGAAGGACAGTATCAACAACTCTGCCATGGAATTCCTTTATTCTCTGCAACTCCTTGATTACCTCGAACACTAATTGTAGTTTTAAAACCCTAATAATTTCTTTTGGTATGAGCTGACCCCCAAGGATCTGTCTTGCTTCAAGCTCTGGAACTCAGTAAATTCCTTACCTTTATTCCATTATTTTCAGTTTTCTTCTAGCTGATTTATATATAGAGAAAGTGTAAACCCCTTATGCTTTATCTTGTTTTGTTGATGTTGACAAAGTATTACTCGACAGAGACAATGATTGTTATTTGTTCCTTTTTGGTGCCTTTATCGTGCTTTTTTTTTTTGTGAGTTTTCTGTGTTTTTTATATTTGTTGCTTACTATTGAAAGCTCCTAGGTACAAAAGCTTAAATGTTGTCTTTGTATAAACGACCTATGTTCTATAAAATGCTTATTTGTGGTCTCCATCAGTAAAAGTTGTCTGCATCCGAAGACACATATCTATAGTGTATGTAACTTGTGGTCCCTCTATTTGAGTCAAATTTTTTTGTATGTTCTGTAGTGGTTGAGTGGTCCTTGTCGTGTGTTTAATTTTCTTTTGTATTATTGATTTTTTTGTCAACTTGTTATGTTGAATATTTAATTATGTCTTCCTTGTTTGTGCCTATCATGTGTTATTAATTTTGCCTCAATATTAAAATTTGATTTTAATTTACCTTAATTTTGCCTTAACATTGTGATAACCATTATTTTTTTTTTTTAAGTAATTAAACACTGTGATAACTTTGTAAGCACATAATGGTATTTAAATTTTCTCTTACCACTATATATTACCATGTCTGCACTATATGCCTTTGAAAGATCTTGGTATTGTTTCAACTGATACCACTTGTTTGTCATTGTAATTTGTTATTGTAAATGGATGGTCTTTACACAATTGAACTTCATCATGGGGGTGTTTTTGAGAAATCACCCCCCATGACGTACCTAAGAGGAAATATCTCACACTTCGAGAAAGTAAACCCTGACTTGATGTCAATGATTGAGATTCAAGGGATGGCAAGTAAGTTAGGATATGGGCTATCAGGGAAGTTTTTTACAAAGTACCCTATGAGTGGCAAAGCTTTAGAGAAGTCAAGTGTGATATAGATGTGTTTAGAATGTTTTATGGCCATGAAGCCCATAGGGAAAGCAGTAAAAGTGAAACTTTACATTGTTGCACCTTTATTGAGCAATGCAGAAAATGTGGCAGGTTTATATGGTGAATTAGGTTCAAATGGTGAATTAGGGTGGGATACTGCAGTACACCAAACCCTCATTGCTCACGTGTCTAGCCCAAATTGTCAAAATGATGAGTTGATAAGTTTATATGGATTTGATGATGATGGATTTGACAGTGGTTCTATGCAGCAAGAGTTTATTCCTTCAAGGGATTTGGGGGAAAAGGAATTAGAAGTAGGCATGAAATTTGGGTCAGCTGAAGATTTTAGGTTGGCATTGAGGGAAATAGCATTGAAGAACAAGTTTGATATAAAATTCACAAGAAATGATGGAGATAGGGTAAGTGCAGTATGCAAAGCTGAATGTGGTTGGAGGATATATGCAAGCAAACCAGAATATAATAATTGCTTAATAATTAAGACATGTGTATCAAAACACACAAATTGCCTTTGGTTTCACACCAATGCACAAGCATCATCTTCCTATTTAGCAACCAAATACTTAGAACAATTGAGAATTAACCCAAAGATGCCTTTAAGTACACTTAGGACCAATATTGCATGTGATTTAAACATTGATGTATCTAAACACAAAGTGTATAAGGCTAAGAGGAAGGCATTAGAATTGATTGAGGGAAATGATGCAGAACAGTATGAAAAAATGAGGGATTATTGTAGTTTGATCTTGAGAACAAACCCTGGTGTTATTAAACTACAAACTGAGCCCACTGGTGTTGAAAATGAGAGAAGGTTTCAAAGGGTTTTTATCCGTTATTCCGCAATGAAAACTGGTTTTAAAGAAGGTTGTAGGCCCCTAATTGGTGTGGATGGTTGCTTTCTAAAAGGGCCATATGGTGGCCATCTATTGAGTGCAGTGTCAAATGATGGAAATGGCCAAATTTTTCAAGTTACAATTGCAATAGTGGAAGCTGAGACAAGAGATTCTTGGGAGTGGTTTATGGGAGAATTGATTGATGTCATAGGGTCCTACCATGGTACAACTTTCATATCTGATAGACAGAAGGTACATATTTTTAGTTGCAATTGTGTTTTACTATTTAATTAATGTTTTTAACAAGTTGATATTGTTTCTATTAACATAAATATTCTGGTATTTTATCTCATATGCAAGGTTTAGTAGAAACCTTTGATCACATGATGGAAGGTTCAGACCACAAATTTTGTGTGAGGCATTTGTATGAGAATTTCAAGCTCAAATTCAAAGGACAACAACTAAAAAATGAGTTATGAGAGGCAGCAAGGTCATATACTGATGCAGATTTTGAACAACATATGAGGAAAATAAGGGACTTGAATGTTGATGCTTATGAATGGTTGAGGAAGGTGCCAGCTGAACTGTGGTCTAGGTCAGGGTTCACACATATTTCAAAAAATGATGTGCTCATCAACAACATGTGTGAGAGTTGGAATGCAGTTCTTGTTGAAGTAAGGGATAAGCCAATCATATACATGTTGGAGTGGATTAGAAGACACCTAATGCTAACGTTCCAATGCAAGAAAGAATGGATGCTAGCACAGGGTAGGTTATTATGTCCAGAAGTACAAAAGAATTTGAACAAAGTCAACATCAAGCTAGAATGTGTAATGTGCAATATGCTGGTGATCAAATGAGGTACAATGCTATGGCATTAGTGAGGCAGTTGACATTGAGAATAAATCATGCAGTTGTAGGGTCTGGGATGTGACTGGTATCCCTTGTAGGCATGCTGGAGCATGCATATTTACCAAGAGAAACTCTCCTGAAGCATATGTTCACCCACACTACCACAGAGAAACCTATTTGAAGTCCTATGCTGGTATAATCTTGGCAATTCCAATGGGGAGGTTGATGACAACAGACCCCATTCACCCATTGCTTCCACCATACTATAGGAAACCCACTAGTAGACCAAAGAAGGTAGGAAAGTGGTCACAACTCAAGGACATGTCAATTAGTTGAACCATTGGTCATTAAGAAACCTCCACCAAGAAGGGGAGGTAGACCACCAATTATGGGAAGAGGAAAAGGAGTAGGACCTGAGGGGATGCCAATTATGGGAAGAGGAAAAGGAGTAGGACATGAGGAAGAGGAAGGAGGGGTTCAAGGGGAAGAGCAAAAAGACTTCAAGTTCCTGCTGCAGTACCTGCACAGGAAGAGGTATTCTTATGTGATCTATACTTATAATTTTCATGTAATATATACCTTAAAATAAGCTAACTTTTACTACTGATTTGCATTTTAGGTTCTAAATATACCATTTTCTCAGCTTTCACAAACTCAAGCATTATCATCTTCTTCAAGGTATAATCAAAACACTCATATGTTCTTTGTATTTTGATAATGACTTCTTCCAGATTTTTTTTTAATTGCTTGGTTGAGTGACAGGTCAACGATGGATAATGAATATGCTTGTTGGTAGTGAAGATGGACACTAATTGTAGCTTCTGTTGATGGTTTTTGTTGGTAGTGAAGATGGACACTAATTGTAGCTTCTGTTGATGGTTTTTGTTGTTGACTGGCCACCTGTTACAACTTTTGTTTATGGTTACTTCTGTCTACTTGTTGCAGTTGTCAATGCTTTTTGTCACTCCAAGCTACTGTTAAAGGTTGTTTTGCTGTAGTTATGCCTTGTTCTGACAAGATGAACTTAACTTTTATGTTTTTTGGTGATTGTAATTGTTAACTTCTATGACATAGGATTTGGTACTATTTTCTATTTGAATGTATGTTATTAAGTACTATGGGTGATGTTATGAATGTTTAAGTTCAGGAAATGTAACATGTTTTTAATTATGATTGTTGTCATGTGGTGCTATGCTTATTTTCTTCCATTATTTTGTCAATGCATAGCAGAGAGTAAAGCACTATGTCATTTAGTGTTTCCAAATTCTATTCCTTTCTTTAATTATGATTGTTGTCATGTGGTGCTATGGGATGTGGAGTTATGTTTATATATATATTTTTGCCATTTTTTTTGTCAATGCAGAGCAGTGAGTTCCTTTCTTTAATTATGATGGTTGTCATATGGTGCTATAGTATGCGGTGTTATGTTTATATATATTTTTTGCCATTTTTTTGTCAATGCAGAGCAGTGAGTGAGTTTCTTTAATTATGATTGTTGTCATATGGTGCTATGGTATGTCGTGTTTATTTAATTCTATTTTATTTTTTTAATGTTGTAAACTAGATTACTTTGTGTTATTTTTCTATATATCATTCATTTCATTGTCAGTACATAGAACACACACAAAATAAAATTAAAATAAAAAGGGTTAGGAGAAAAAGGATTCTGAAGTAAAGCACCCTAACTCTGATCTGTGTACTTGTTTCCCTCATCTTAAAATGTAAATTGTGTTTAAGAGAAAAAAATGTTCCTGTATTAAGCTTTAAAATTCGAGTTTATGGATTGTAGACCAGTAGTATTTTAATATGTGGCTTATTTGTTCATGTTAGACTTGGGTGGACTGATTCTTAATAGTTATTAATGAAATCCTTGTTGTGAAAATAAACTGTCATGTGAGCATGTTATAGGATTTGCATGTTGTCTTCCTCAAGAAGTCCTTTTTCTTATACAAGTTTTGAGTATTTTGAAATTTGGAATAAATATCAAGAATTTGAGTTAGACTCAAAACCAGCAGGTGAGTTTGAAAGCATATTAGATTACCTTACAGTTTCAAGATCATCCTTGTACTTAGTAACCCTGCTTAAGCAACTACCAAATGCAGGCTTTTCTCTCTCTCTCAAACACACACACACACACACACACAAATTGCTTTCTTCTTCTTCTTCTCTCTCTCTCACTTACTTCTTCTTTCTTTTCTTCTAATTTTTTTGTCAATACAGAGCAGTGTGTAAGGCACTCTGTCATTTATTGTCTCTAAGTGCCATCCTTTGTGTCATTTATAGCTCCAATTGCTTTCAATGCAAAGTAGTTCTAAGGCATTGCAATTCCATTCCAGTTCATTAATCAAAACACAACATTTCATTCCAATTGTCAAAATATTACAAGAGGATTTCATTCATGAAGCTACAACCCAACCCTCTAAACCATCCTATAACAAACTAACTTACAACCATATTACCCAAACCTCCATAAGATTATACAATAACCCAGAACCATAAAAAAAAAAAAAAAAAAAAAAAAAAAAAAAAAAAACTTCACCCGAAGCCATTCACTTCATAACCAGAGCAAAAAGAATAAGTAAAACTAATAAAATAGAACACCCAAACAAAAGCAAGCTTCCGACAATCATAGCCTTTGCAAATGCAATTATGGAACTGAGAGCTACTGGATGAACTTCATTAGGCAGAAGATAACCATTTTGTGCAGCTACTGGATGAGCTCCAATTTGGTTTGCTATAGCAACAGGAGTCGCCCATTCAAAGTATTTGCAATGCTTTTTATTGCACTTGTAATACAATCTCCCAAGATTGTTGTTGGACTCAGAAATGCATAAAACAGCTCTTATGCGACACCAACACTTCTTATTCACAAACTGAACCCTTCGAAGCCCAGCAATGTCCATTACAAAAACCTTCAAATTTTTTTGAAAACTGAGACGACAAAAAAAAAAAAAAAAAAAAAAAGAAAAAAGGGACAAACTATTTGTGATTAATAATAGACAAAGAGTAAAAATGAGGCAAAATCACACAAAAACAAACCCAAAGAAACAAAGGAAAAGTATATATATAAATATGTATATGTGTGTGTGTGTGTGTGTATATATATATATCTCAAAACACACAAAAACAAACCCGAATCCTTTATTACCTTTCAGTCAAATACGAATCGAGAGTGGGAGGGAAGAGTAGATGACCACCAACCGAGAGTGATAGAGATTAACAGATAACGACCCAAGAGAGTAGTCTGAGTTAGGGTTAAAATGATTTGGGAATTTTATAATTGAGGGTAAAGGTAAGGGGTTGTTTGGCTGTAACGGTCAAACTATGGGCAATTTAGTATTTTCAGTTTTCAAGGGTATTATTGTCTATAAAACATATATTGTACAGCACGTGACAACCACATGTACTGATAACGGCCATTTTTGGATGGATTCTTGCCGGACTGGGCTACTACAACAAAAAATCATAGTTCAAGAGGTTTCTTGCATAAATTGTAGTTCAGGGGTTTTTTTTGCATTTTTGTCAATAGTTTAGGGGTTTTTTACACTTTTCTCTATATCATATAATGAAAGATATATATATATATATATATATATATATATATATATATATATATATACACACACACACCATATATAAAGGGCTAGCTCAAGGCAGACTTTGGTTGGTGCGGGTCTGAAGAGAGTACACAAGTCTACTTCACGTTCCATGAGGCATGGGAAAGATTCAATGAATTGCTTAGGAAGTATCCACATCATGACATGCCCAAATGGCAATTGGTTCAATATTTCTTTGAGAGCTTATTGGACAATTATAAGGGCATGGTTGATGCTTCCATGGGTGGCTCTTATAGTGATAGGCATGAGGAGGACGTGTGGCGTCTTTATGAGAGCATGAGTGAAAATTCCTTGCATCGAACTTTATCTTCCAATAATGGTAGGAATTCAAGTGGAAGGAAGAGTGTTGGCTTACATCAAGTTGACCATTCCAATGAAATAGCCGCCGAGATGAAATCCTTATCCCAAAGGTTTGATCGATTCTTGATCAACCAAAACTCGGCAAATCAAGTATCTTCCATCCCTAACCATTCCCATCATGCATCCAATGAGACATGTATGACTTGTTCAAGTGTTTTACATTCTACTTCCAATTGTCCCCATGGACATGTGCAAAATAAGCATTATGAACAAGTCAATGCAGTTTTTGTTAATCAAGGGAACAATCTTTATGGAAATCATTATAATCCTAGTTGAAGGAATCACCTGAATTTCTCTTGGAGAAACCAAAGGGAAGGCTCAAACCCTCCCCAAGGTGATTTCTAAGAGAAATATGTCACACCTCCAATGCAAAGCCAAGGTTCTCAAGGATATAGACCATTTCAATCACAAGGAAATCAATTTTCTAATTCTCATTTTCCTAATCAACCATCATATTCTCAAGGAAATGCTAGGAGTCCCACTTTTGAAGAGAAAGTTTTGACCGTTCTAGGCACTCTAGAGGCAAACACTCAATTGCTTCATTCTCATTCTCAATCCAATGCTAAGCTAGAAACCCAAGTAGGGCAAATAGCTAGTACTTTAAATGCTTTAGAAAAAGGGAAAATGCCTTGAATGCCCCACAAAAGCAACAATGTGTTGTGGAGACTCATTCCTCATCGGAAGGTCACACAATAGAGCATGTCAATGCGGTGACTACCTTGAGAAGTGGGAAGATTGTGGACAACCAAGTGGGTATGTCCAATGAAGAGAGTGAACCGGTGCAACCACAAGTTGACACCCGTCCCGTTTCACATCCTATTCCTCCTTCATTGCATATGCATGATCTTTCAAATGAGAATATCTTGAAAAGTGATTTGAAAAGTAATTTTGAAAAGAAAAATTTGCAACATGATTTCAAAACTTCTTGTGTTAAAGAGACTTCAAAGAAAATGTTTGAAAAGGTTTTTGAGCCAAGAGCTCCATTCCCGGATCCATTAAAAGGATCCATTTCAATTGACAAGCAAAAGACCAAAACAAATGAAATTATAGATGTGTTTAGGCAAGTGAAAGTCAATCTTCCACTTTTGAATGCAATCAAGCAAATTCTGGCTTATGCTAAGTTTCTGAAAGACTTATGCACCCAAAAGAGGAAGAACAAAAGCCAAGCACCTAGGAAAGCGGTCTTAACCGAGCAAGTAAGCTCAATTTTGCAGCATAACACTCTTCCGAAGTTTAAAGACCCCGGTTCACCTACCATTTCATGCATCATTGGAGATCATATCATTAATCGGGCTCTTCTTGACTTAAGAGCAAGTGTTAATCTTCTTCCATACTCGATATATGTCAAATTAGGCTTAT